TGTTCTGCACAATAATCCCATCATTTTTTGAACCAGACATCATATTATTTCAAAGTACTGGGAGTGACAGAGGCCATTATTTCGTGTATTGCTTTATTAGGGAAGTTTCTTTCTGAGAATGATTCCCTGATAAAACTCCTGCAACCAGGGTAAGGTCCCTCCATAGAGGATGTGGTTTCCTGAAAGAAGATGAAAGCATGTTTTTGTTTGGTAGTAATATCAAGGGTTTACAGGTAAGCATTCGTTGGAAAAGAGGGTACTATGGTTGCGTTACCCAAAAAGGCACGATCACAATGCCCTCTGATTCTTCAGATTTTATTCTCCGTAAAACTCTGATTATAAGAGAGAATGGAGGAGAAGCATAAAAGTTAATGTTTTTCCAAGATACTGTGAAGCTGTCCACATCCTAAGAAGATGGATCAGGTTTCCAAGATACGAAACATTCACTTTTTGTGTTGAGTTTTGTTGCGAATAGATCGATCAGGGGTGAATCACGTTTGACATATTTTTTGAAAACATGAGTCGGATAATTCATATTTCGTGTCAATAGTTGTGCATCGAGATTGGGCATCACCTATACTATTACTTTTTGTATTGGTATATGATGCAAATATCCATATTCAACGTTTTTCACAATATTGCCAAATCTGTCTTGTTCAAATTTTCATGTCTTACTCCCCCCATTTTGTTAATGTATGTTAATGTGCGGTAACATTATCGATTCGCAACAGAATTTCACAGTCGGAATTATTTTTCGTAAAACACTTGAGGCCGTTGAATGCCGTCCTCAGTTCCAAGAAATTTATGTCTTTTCTGTTTTTTGCGGTCCCAGAAGACATGTGCTTTTTTTTTGTTGCAGTATGCCCTCGAACCCGATTTTGAATTGTCAGAATATATTTCTCATTTATAAATATTCCTTTTTATTTGATTTGTGGATGAAGATAGGTTTTGTAGCCACCATTTCAAATCGGATTCAGCTTCTTCCGACATCGACATGTGTTTGTCGAAATTATAGATTCAACTGACGACATTTGTCTTTTTCCAACTTTTTTGTATACAACCATCCATATGTGATAGCAGGGCATGCTGCCACAAGGTTTTCTATCATCCTTGCCAGAGTACAAATAGTAAAATATTTTGTATTTTATTCCACTATTATTTCATTTCAGGTTTATTTTGGTTAATATAATTGTTATTTTCAGCTATTCATTTTCAATTCTTCTTTTTCAGTTGTTTCAGGGATTTCAAATCATTTTATATAGTAGACAATGGAAGTCCGTACTAGTGAAATTCATCATGAAACATTGTCAATCACCTTCAAACAAATGATGAAAATTGTTACCAACTTCAATATGTGTGTTCGTAGTTGCCTGAAAGGCTTGTACTTTATGAGAACTGACCACTTCCATATAGATATGTAACTGAGAGTCTTTATGACTATGGAAATCGTGAAGAATTCCTTGGGTAGAATATTCATAGCAAGGTTGGGATAATAGAATTTGAATTTGTGGAGTTCATCATTATAATAATTCCAGATTTGATAGATTGAATTCTATCTATTCTGTTCATTCCCATATTGATTCCAATTTGAGGGGCCACCGGTAGACAGCTGTTTCAGCCTGTTAGGCATCGTCAGTAGATCCTCGATTGGAAACAAAATGTGAATAACCAAGAAAATCACCTAATGAAGATAAATGCGTGAATGCATTCGAGACATATATGGAACCACCTATTGGTGTGACCCCCGGGTCAACTTATCAAGTTTTTATGTCAGTGTTGGTGGTTTGACCAATCAACCGACCACTGCGGTAGCAGAAATTTGGAAAGCTATCCTGGAATACCATGAGAAAACGAATTCACATATTTCTAGGAATGATATGAAATCGAGAAAGGTTGATGCAGTCAAGCTGCTGAAGAAAAGTACTTAATGGAGATGACTGCGTGAATGCAAGGGAGACATAAGTGGAACCACCTATTTTGTTTTCAATCGAGGATCGCCTGCCCGGTACTGACGATGCCTAACAGGCTGAAACAGCTGTCTACACCGGTAGACAGCCACCGGGCTCTTAAATTCAGTTCAATATGGTAATGATCAGAATAGTACTCATATATTCATCTTATGATTTTCATTGAATTGTTTTCCAGTAGCTTGACTACATCAACCTTTCTCAATTTCATATCATTTCTAGGAATATATACATTCGTTGCCGATGGTATTCCAGGATACCTCTCCAAATTTCTGCTAGCTGCTGAAAAATAATTCTATGAAAATCATAACATGAATAGATGAGTACTATTCTCATCATTCCCATATTTATTTTGATTCAAGAGCCACCGATAGATAGCTGTTCCAGTCTGTTGGGCATCGTCAGCACCGGGCAGATGGTCTTTGATTGGAGACAAAATGTAAATAACCGACAGGTGGTTCCACTTATGTCTTGCTTGAATTTACGCAGTTATTTTCATCAAGTACTTTTCTTGGTAAGTCACATTTTGTCTTAATTCGAGGACCGCCTGCCCAGTCTATTGGTGGCTCTTAAATTGAAATCAATATGGGAATGATCAAAATAGTACTTATCTATTCATCTTTTTGATTTCTGATTTTTGATTTTGATTTGATCCACAGCCTAAGAAGATG